TGGACCCATATCCACGAGGCTCTGCACCAGTCACTGCTAAAACTATGTGGGAAATATGCTGGGGGGAAGCACAGACACAAGGACATTGTTGCTGCAGTCTGCGAGCGTATCCTGTTATCTGTTCTTCCTGGAAAGATGTTCAACACTGGATTAAAATAGCAATAAGGGGAGCTGTGCCTAGGAAACCATATAGTCTTCTGTTAGCTTCCTACACAGTGCTGAGCAGAGGAGACTTCCCCTGAAGTTTTGCATGCTGCTGCTACTTATGTAATTTCTCTCTGCGTCAACGAGGCTTATATGGCTTTCCCAAGCATCACTGCCTGTTCTTCAGCATCAGGGAGGGTGCTGAGGATGTAGCAGGGTGGAAAGGCTCCTTCAGGAAAGAGTGGAGGGCCTGAGAAATGGGAGCTGCTTGCAGTGGTACTGATCTGCAGGCTCAGCCTGTGCTCAGGGCTCTGGGGCAGCACAGCACTGGGTCCTTCTGTCCCACAGAGAGCAGGACAGGCTGGGCAGTGATACCCTGCAGGAGCGTGGGCAGTGCTCCACTCGAGGGAAAACACGCTGGGAAGTGAAGTGAAATCAATTTTACTCATATTGGAGACACACTGCAGTGTTGACTGTACAGCCATGTTGTGCTGGTGGGTCTGCCTTGCAAGTCAGAGGATATTTTGTGTAAGGGGGATTTCGGGCCCCTTGTGCAGATCTGGAGAGGAGCTCTTTAAAAAACGTCCTCAAGACTATTTCCCCCCTGCTTTTAAGGAAACAAGATAACGAAACTTGATTTTGTTTCCAGGTTCCCTGACTGCCCAAGAGATAAGACCTATGGAGCCATCAGTGGCAGGCAAAGGCAAATATAGACATGGAGAGATCTGACTGACCAAACTCATCCAGAAATGACAGCAAGGGAAACAAAGAGAGGCTGGCTGAAGCTCTACCACAGACAGCAATATGGAGAGAAAGCAGGAAGGTGGTACCAGAAGAAAGACAAAAGGCAGGTAGGTAAATGTTTTAGGCAGAAGCGTAGGAAGAAACAAGGAAGGCTGTGCTAGCAAGAATAAGAGATATTCCCACTTTCTTGGTCTAAAAGGTCTATCCACACGTCAGCAAAGAGGTTACAATGGGTAGAGAAGTGACTTAGATGAGAGAGAGTGAGAGAGAAGCTATGCCAAAGCCTCATCCAGCCACAGCACAGGATAGGTAACAGATGCAAGGTCAGGGAACAGGGTCTTGACATGTTGACAGGAGAACAATACATCTGGGAACTGACTGTGGGGAAAGAAGGGGTTGAATGTGACTCAGAGGATATAATGATTTAGTAAATGCTTACATTTAATTAAGTGAACAAGTACAAAATGTCAGAGACCTGCACCAGCTCCCTCCATTCCTTATTGTCCCAACTGTCCTTACTGTGACCTGTGGTCTGTGGTCAGACCATGAGTTTGGTGTTAATTATTGACTTTAGTGTTTAAGGCTGACCTTCCTAAGGCGTGTTTACATAGTTTTTATAGTACATAACAGACTTTTCCCTTTCTGTTTATTCCATCTAATTTTGCTGTCACAGTCTCCCTTTCCCAGCTCTCTCAAAACCTGGGAGGGTAATTGAAAAACTAGTTACTAATTGTGGAAATCCTTGCCTTGGAGAGTTAGCAGCGCTCTTAAAGTAAACGTTATTACATTGAAAGCTATGTAAAATCTCAGGAGGCCCAGAGACGTTTTTTTCTGAAATTCTCTGCTCCAGTTTCAGGCAAAAAGTCCACTAATGCCTCAAAGGCAGGAGGGAGGGAAGGGAGCGAGTGTGCTCCAGCCATTTGATGTAACATCTCTGTTGGGGACAGGCGTTGCACCTCTGGTTGTCAAAACCCTGTCTCCTCCATCAGGGTCAAAACAGACCTACTTGCAGCTACACTGATGTGTGCAGAGCTTTTGCACACCTTCCCTCTGACACACAGCACACAAAAATATATATGAATATAGCAACTGGGTTCCTTTGAAATCCTGCTGGCTTTAGTATTTTTGTCTCACCTCTTAGCTGCACAGTCCCAGCAAACTGACAACGTTTTGACACATCTCCCTTGGGAGATTAGTACCTACACAGCCAAAAGCAGGTAACAGATCTGGTAACACGCACACAAATTGTTCACCACTTTCCTCCAGAAGGCCCCAGACTCAGCTGTTTTTTCTGACAGACGCTGGCAAGTTGCTGGCTTCACACCAGCCTCCTTCCCCAGCACTGTCCCAGTGGCATCAGGCACAGCAAGAACCAGCCTTGCCTGCCACAACCTGACAGCAAACAGCAAAGACACCAAACAGCGTGAGAAGCCTCCTCACTCATGCCAGGGAGGTTTGCTTTGCTGCTCGTGAGAGTTATCTCCCCCATTTTCCCATGCTAAGTGCTGCATTCCTGCCCTCTAGATTAAAGTGTGTTTGTTTCATTTCCTGGAACTGAGCAGAATTGTTTAAAAACAAAGCTTCTATATTCCCATCACAAAACCTGCCCCAGGATGGGGTTTTACTTTGCCATTGCCCAAATCCCGCTGAGGAAAGTCGCAGTTCTGATGTGGGAAATAAAAGAAACAAGCTGTGAAGGTCCTCTCTGCATGCCACAAAATATAATAATAATTAAAAAAAAAAGAGAGAAATAAACCACAAGAGCAAAAGTGTGACAGTCCTCTCCTCCACAACCCCCCAGATAACCTCAACTCTGTGTTTTTAGAGACCACAAATGATAAAATCACTTACTCCTCTCTTGCAAGTGCTGTGCCAGTGGCTGTTACATCAATAGATGCGAACCCCGTGCATACAACCAATGTCCGACAGGACGAGTGACACAATACTTTAGTCTTATGTCTTTTGAGTACACGAAATCATATTTTACCAGAAAGTTTGGGGTAGCCTGAACGATTAGTTGCTTCGTAATTACAAGAAGTAATCGTTGTTTATGAACGGGAGTCGGGCTGCTCAGCAAGTGCATTAATCTCCTGCCAGGCAGCGCACAAACCCGATGCCCCTAAAGACGGCAAGAGGCCACGACAGCGATGTTTGATAGCGACAGCTCGGAGGTTCCCAGCACGGACAGGGAGCTGGGGTCCCGCAGCACAGCCGCGCACCGCGTGGGTTCAGGTCTGGTGTGGGGGCTCAGGGGTGGGTTTGGGAGCTCAGGGAGAGGCGGCCGGCTGGGCGGAGGGCACCCGTCGGGGCCGCTGCGCCGCCGGCGGGGCGGGAGCGGGACGAGCGGCGAAGTTGTGTGAGGGCGCAGCGGCGGCCGGACAGCCCGCCCGGCTCCCCCCGGCACGGCTCCTTACCGATGTGCTCGATGAGGTTCCTCCACGAGTCGGCCGTCATGGGGTGTGCGGGCGGCGGCTCGGCGGTGCCGGCGGGGGTCTCCTCAGCGGCGGCGGGGGGGTTCCTGCGGGAGGCGGACGGGAGCCCTCAGAGCCGCGGCGGAAAGGCGGCGGGACAGCGGCACCTCCGCCCGCCCGCGCCCTTCGCTCCCCCGCCCTCACCCCCCCCCCTCACCTGCCGGGCTGTCCCGCCGAGCCGTCCTGGTCGAGGGCGCAGGCGGCGCTCAGGGCCGCGGCCAGCAGCTCCATGGCCGGCGGCGGCAGGCGGCTGCCCAGCAGCTCCGGCGGCGGCGGCGGCGTTGCGGGGCTGGGGGAGCCCGGGCGGTTGCCACGGTAACGGGGGTAGGAAGGCAGCAGCCTGCGCGGGAGGGAGAGGGGAATTGCGGCCGCCCCCGGGGCACCCCCGCAGCCCCTCGAGACCCTCTGAGCCCCGAAACCCCCTCAGAGCCTCTCCTTAGACACCCCCCACCCCAGACGCTCTGCCCCCCAAGCCCCCTCAGAGCCTCACCGCTCCCCTCAGAGCTTCTCCTCAGACGCCCCCCCAGGCGTCCCCATGGCCCTCCCTCAAAATCTCTAGAGAGCCCCCTCAAATCCCCTCAGAGCCTCCCCTCAGACACCCATCAGGCATCCACAGGGGCTCCCCACCAAAATCCCCTCAGAGCCTTCCGAAACCTCTTCAGCGACCCCCTCTGGCTCTCCCGCCAAAACCCCCACGCAGCTCCCTCGGAGCCTTCCCTCAGACTCCCCTCAGAGACTCCCCACAGATTTTCCTCACAGAGACCTCCCTCAAAATCCCCTCAGAGCCTCTCCTCTCGGGCTCCCGCAAACCCCTCAGAGCCCCCCTAGCCTCTTGCAGCCCCTCTCCTCGTTCCCAGATTTCCTCAGAGGCTCCACGGAGCTCTGCCAAATCCCAGCGGAGCTCCCTCAGCCTTCCCCAAATCCCTCCCGAGACCCCTCAGAGTCCGGCAGAGTTCCCAGCCCCGCTCACTCGGAGCCCCTCAAAACTCAGCCCTCTGAGCGCCCACCTGACCCCAGAGTTCCCCCACAGCCTCTCAGAGCCCCCTCTGCAAACCCTTTCAGCGCCTCCAAAATCTTTTCCGAGCCCCCATAGACCCCTCAGGTGTCGTTGCTCCCCTCTCAGAGCCCCCAGCCCCTGCCCGGCACCCCTGCCCGCAGAGACCTCCTCAGCCCCCCCGGCTCCCCTCCAGCGCTCCGGCACAGGTCCCTCCTCCGCCGGGAGGATGACTCCCTCCTCCCCAGGGGCCCCCCCAAAAGGCAGCAATCCCTGCCCCAGGGCCCCCCCACCTTCACAGGCACCCCTACCTCCATCCCCCCTGCGCTCCTGCACAGAGGCTGCTTCCTCAGATGCAGGGAAGCCCCTTTTCCATCCCCTCCCTTCCCCCCAGCAAGGCACCCTCCCCCAGCGAGCACCCACACGCCCCATCCCACCCCATGCACCGGCCCCAGCCCTTTTCCTCCATGCACGGGCACCCCACAGCGGGCAGGGGTCCCGCCCTGGCACTGACCTGTCCTCCCTCAGCCCCGGGGCGCAGCGCTGCCCCCCATCCCCTGCACCTCTCTGCCTATGTGCGCCTGGCGCCGGCTTTGAGGGAGAAAAAGGGCTGGGAGAGGGGGGCTCTCCTGAACTGCTTCCAGATCTGGTGCATATGGTGCATTTCTTCTCCAGGGGCGAAACCCTGAGATGGAGGAATGTAACTGGGAAACTCAGCCTAATCCCTCCTGCCGGGATGTGCACCCCTGATTACCCCACAGGATTGGCCGCTATCTGCCTCTCCTCCTCCGGCGGGGCTTCGCACCCGATCGCTCATTTCTCCCGTCTCCCTTTCCTTAGCGCCGCTACTTCCATAAGGATATATTGCCTCGTTTAGGCAGTAAGTATCTCAATGATCTGTATCTCTGTTCGTTCAGGTAATTGTTTTTCCGCCTCAGGGATAAATCCTCTTGAGCTCCAGAGTACGGTTACACCCTCGGATCAGTTGGAATGCTTGTGGACAGGTTGGGTGCAGCTCTTCCCCACACGTTAATAACTCTCAGCAAAAAAAACCCCCCATCATCTGCACCACATTGCAACTGAGGAGTTAACAGAGGGAAAGTGCTCAGCTATTCCTTGTGCTCGCTTTCTCCCTGTTGCATAAATAACCGTGATTTTTCTGTACGTGGTAAGGTAATTTATGTAACAGCATCAAATCTGTGTATTGGTCTGTATGGTTTCCTTTTAAACATTTTTATATTGGTTTTGCTAAATCATATGCCAGGATAGCTTCTAATCAGTACATGATGGTATGTCCAGAAAAAGTCCTTCAGCTTATGTGAACTAGATCTTGATCTGGCACACTGGAAAGCTCAGTCATTAAGTCATTAAGAAGCAGAACGGGAAAGAAAAACAGCTGGAAATGTCATTGAAGGCTCAGAGAAGGCTGTGAGTCCAGTTCATGTCCAGTCCCGGAGCAGGAGGTTGGAAGGACCAGACAAGCGAAAGGAAATAGCAGGGTGAGGGTGAGAGCTGGAGCCTGCCTTGTGCTTAGAGAGGAGGAGGAGAGCCTGAGAGCCGGGGCTGAGATTGTCACCGGGTAGATGGTCAATATGGGGTGAAAGTGGGTTATCACCGTTAAACGCTGGGGATTAGGGGGTTTAGGGAGAGAGGTGAGTGAGGGGGCGGCTAAAACCTTGTGGAAGGGATAAAGCGGCAGAGACTCTGCCTAACGACTGATGTTTTGGTGGCTTACCGCTAGGGCAAGAATACTGTCAAGGGTTTTAGTGAGTGGGTGGGATGCTAAAAAGCTTCTTTCTTAGAAAAGAAGTGATCTTTAGTTATCCTGAAATCTGGAAAACCAGATATGCTGTTTACTCTTTTCTAAAGGGAAGGGCCAAGAGCAGTGGGGAGTTCTCTCTCATATGCAAAGGGAAATCAGTGCATAAGCTCTTACTGACACTGCTAGGATGAATATATATCTAAATATAACTTTTGAGTGTATTTACTAAGAAAAAAAATTCTTTCAGAAGTATGCTTTAGGAGTTTAACAGATCCTAACCCCTCACATTGCTTCACTCCCAAGGTTAAATCTGTTGCAAATTGAAATTTCTTTTTAGAAAAAGTGTCTGGGTCATGCTATGAAAAACTTGCAGAAATAGAAAGCATCTTTTCATAATCCTATAAATGTCTGGTAACTTGATCCTGCCTGTCTTCCATTTCCTTCATTTCTCCCAACATAATTTCACTTTTGGTCCAAGATGAAAATCTGAAAATGTCACTGGAAGTACTGACGATAATAAAAACATCGGAAGCTCTGAAGAGGTGAGAACACCCGCTGCGAGTGAAATGCCCCCTGTGGCCATGGGAGGCCGCAGCTCGTATGTTCGTGTCTCAGAGAGCTCTTCCACTGCGTAGCGATGACCACTACTCTACTTTTCCCTTCCTTTAGAACTTTTTCCTTTCTTAAATGCAATTTGGTCTTTCGAAGATGTTGTTCTTTCTTCCTTTCCAGCTTTATTCTTGTACTTTACGTTGACATACAGAGGATGTCCAGAAACAGAACGAGTGCGTGAGAAACACTTTTTCTCTCAAGTGAAGTGACAGAGTGTTCCCAGTACTCTTGGGACTGGAATAAAAAGTGATATTTAGCAAGATGGAGATATTTTTGTTCTACAAAATGTCCTGGGATTTTCTAAATCGTGCTCTTCTGTTTGGAGACAAAACAAAGCTTTTAAAGTTTGTCATGCAAACTAAAGGCAGGCAAACAAGCGATTCTGTCACAGGGGTCTGCTGACTGGGATATTCATGCTGGTCACAGAGGATCCAGGTCAGAGTCACGGCTGTGTCACTCCCTCACATCCCACATGCCTGTTCCAGGGCAGGTCAGTCTCTCTTCCTGCAGCTGCTCTGCTTTCTCTGCTCACTGGGAAAGGTGCTTCAACCTGGTAAATGCTTATTCACCAAATACCACTTTAAGTCAGTCAATACTGATTTATGTGGAGCAGCTCCAACATAACTGCCCCCTTCTTCCTCCCTAGTTCCACAGTTGCTAGGATTTTGTGTGCAGTTTAAGCTGATCTAGCTGCTCAATTCCCCTTCTCACTTGACCCCCTGAGGCAGATTTCTACCTCTGCTGTTATGCCAGCACTCCCTTAAGTTTGTCTCGTTCTCAGTGAACAGGTTTGGGCAGCTAAACTCATTGAAAATGATTCATTTTTTTTTTGGTAGAACCAGCTTTGTGTGAATGGTGTCACTACAGGGTGAGCTCAAAGCCAGTGCCAGCAGAGCAGAGGTGGCAGACGTGCAGAGGGATGGCAGGACCGTGGCACTGCCACCTTGGATCCTTTTACACTGCTGTGGAACAGCAGGCTCAGGCCTGGAGAAGTTCCTACTGCACCTAATCTTAACCATTGGGTAGGAGTTTGGAGGAGGTTTTCTTTTTTCTCTCACTGTAACAACAAAGAATTTGATGCAGAGCCTAAAAAGCTTTCCCCCAGTTATCAAAATCAGTACAATCTCCTGATGACAAACCAGTTTTCTCACCAAAATCCCTTCAATTCATCCTAAAATTCCCTGTCCAGTTGTAGGGGGAAAGAAAGAAAGAATCTGATTACTAGAACAACAAAGCAACCGGTTGAAAATCCTACCCCAGCACTGCACAAGCAGTGCTGCCTGCCCTGTGCTCTTGTTGGTGACAGAAGTCCCACAGTGCCCCAACAGACCAAATCCCAATTCTGGAATCCTTAGGGTCCCAAAGCACACAGGCACTGGAAAAGCTCCCTGGTGGCCATGCTCTGTGGCCACGGGGCAGGACCCTGGCTCAGCTCCCTGTGGGCAAAGGGAAGTGGGTTTGAGCTTGGATCTGTTCTGCAGGGAAGGGGTTCGTGTGCTTGCAGACTGTTCCCAGCTTCACTGTGCTGCTGTTGGAAAAGGTTCTAGATGTTGGCTGACCTGGTCCATGGTTGTGTTAAAATGTGATAATTGGTGTGAGTTTGTAATTTGTTTATTACCAGTATCTCATTTAAGTTATACTTGGGGGATGAATTTCCAATCTCGGTTTGTATTTTCCGGCACCAGTAATTTTGAAAAATGAGGAATCATTTGAATTAAGATTTATTATGTGCATTTCAACTCAAAAGCAATCCTTAGATTGCTGTGCAAAGACCCTTGTTTTCAAATTAAATTGAAATGCATTTTTAAAATGTTCCCTTGTAGCAATTTTTAGAAATTAGACCTTCTCTTCTAGAAACTAAAAAGAGAAGAGGCAGTCCAGCAAATCTTATTCATGAAAAATTCCCCAAACCCTTCTAGTCAGTGGGAGTTTCACACCAAGAAAGGCCACAAGATGAGGTAAGAAGCACTGTTTCAATCTGAACTAACCAAATTTATGGAGAAGTGTGAAGTTAATAATAGATTTGAATAATGTTATACCTAGTCAAGGATATTTTCATACCTCAGGTTCATTCAGATTCCCTCTGTTCATGTGTGGTTTTTAGCAGTGATTTTGGCAATGGGTGTGTCTGTGCAGTTTTTGTTCCTGATTATGACTTTTTAATGGTAGATAAGCAGAACTCCTCATCCTTAATATTTTTAGATCCTCAAGGATAAGAGCATATCTGTTCTCCTGAACTTCCTTAAGCTCTCATCCAAATACTTCAGTTATATCTGTTGGGGCTTACCAATAACTAAAAATGCTCAGAAATTTAATTTATAAGATCCTTACCTTTAGGTGCTTCTAACCTTTTGGTGCTCATAATCATCAGGGTTATGTTTTTACTTACTGACCATTTGCCACAGACAAGTTAGTTTTTTATGTATTAAAAGCAGTTAACAACTTATTAGACTTAGGAAAATATTATTGGATCCCTACTAAAGGAAAACAGAAAACCTGTTGTTCTGTCCTTCCAAAAGCTGTGGTTTCTGTTGATATGCAAGTTGAGATTTTGGGGCTTTCCAGGATTGTGTTTTTGCCAGACTTAAGAAAATCCATAGAATTATAGACCCTTTTCCACTCTCTGCAATACACACAAGCTTCAGACTTAAATTGTAGCACCTAAAATCCCTGAGCTGCTGCCCATGGAGAGACAATCATTTCTGATACTGTAGCTGCAAAAACTGCCTGGTCCAGTTCTAGGCTCTGTGAGTGAAGGCCTCTTTAGGTATAAATAAATATTTACAAATAAATATATAAACATACAAATAAAGACCTTTCTGCGGTATCCTCAGTGATCCTTGTGCTGGATCCAGTCAGCATGATGAGAAAACTACTTGACTGAAAAACAGAAGGGGCAAGACTCAAGCATGGGGAGGAAGAGGTCTACTTGTGGAGCAGGAGACTGCTGTGAAGAGAGGAACTCATGCACAGCTGGAGGCTTCAGGAAATGGTGAGTCGGAAAAGGCTGTAAAATTTGGCACTGGAGCTAAGAGGAGGGGTGGGATACTAAGATTGTATGAGCAGCCAAAGGATGAAGAGCCTGGAGGACAACAGGACACTGAGATATGAGCTGCAGGAGGGAAGAGAGAGGACTAATGTGCCTGAGAAATAGCAGGCTGAGGAAACTGTGTGGGGAATTACAAGTTGAAGCTGATAGAAAAGGAGTAAAATGAAGAGGTTGATTGAGGAGCTGAGGAGTCCAGCTGAAGCAGATCAGATTGGGAGACATGGAAGGCAAAGCCTGGACCTTTCACAGTAATGAAAACATGACTAGCTCAAGAACCTGGCAAGCAGGGACTGTGTGGAATAGAGGGGCAGACTGGGACTGGGATCTCCTTTGGCTGCATGCTGGAAGGATGCTTCCTTAGAACTGTGTATGTCATTGCTGGCTATTCTGTGTGATCCTGTGAAATATGAGGTGTTGGCAGTAATGACATTTTAATACCTACAGTGGTTATTTTTACTGGAAATTTACTAGTTTTTAAAATACTTCTCCCTGCAAATACAGTTGCCCTTAGACTTTTTAAGATGCAGATTGTACAGAAAGGGACAGAAAAAAAAATCTGTCTCTATTTATTTACCTCTAAAAGAGCAAAACATTGTAGAGCAATGAAGTGTAAAGATTTGCTCCCCAGGTGTTTGCACCAGCTATTGCTGACTTCACCACTTGCATATTGAAGCACCGTTGGCAGCACAGAGAAGAACTGACTATAAGAACTGTATTTCATAAGTAGAAGGAAACTGCACAAGTTTCTAAGGCCTTTTGCAGTCCAGCTCCCAGCCTCTCCAAAGGTTTTCCCTACTTTTCTGGTTAAATCAGGCTATAAAAGCAGTGCCCTCTGCTGCCCAGGACCAAGAGTGCTGGGCTAAGGGATGGTAACCCACACTCACACGAGCACCTCTCAGGGTGCTGTGCTATCTCACAGGTGTACTGTTCCTCTCTAATAAGTGCTTGCATGAATTCAAACAAGTTGGATTCCCTCTTGCTGCTGAAGGTGAGTAGTTGTATTCCCTGTTGTAGTACTTCCATTCTTTCAGCTCAGATCAAACATAATCAAATGGTTTTTAGATGACCCCTGTTTCTCTGAACGGGACGTTTCATAAGCAGCATAAAGAAACAGTTTGCTCTGCACTGGGAGACCCGTGATCTCACCACGAGCTTTGCAAAGTGAAATTTCACACTGAATTTCTCTTCCAATGTATCTCATGGCCCATAATAAAAACATATCATTGTTGGAATCTGACTCGGTGGGAAATGGTAGGTAAATAATGCAGTCATGCTGCTAAAATATCTGTATTGTACTAGAAAGGAAGAAAAGTGAACATCCTATTAGCTGACAATATAAGGTAGGCACTGATTAGTGAATCTCCTTCCTAGGGTCTGCAATGACTAATTTTCTGGTCTCTGTGGGAGCTGCTTTCAGCTGGCAGTTGTGGATGGACACTGTGGGTGGATGTTTCTCTGTGGTGGCTTTCTGTGATCTCAGTCTGCACAACTGCTGCCACTGTGGAGCTGGCAGGACTGCTCACAGTGGGCAAGAGCAGCTTTTGCTGAGTTTGGTTCCTTCCAGGGCCTTGGCTCGGGTTGCTCTGGAAAGCAGGGGTTGTGCTGGGAGCTCAGCACCGAGATGCTCAGGGCAGGTCTGGTGTCAGGAAGCAGCTCGTCATGGTGGGGTTCAGATCTTTGTACAATGTGGAAGGGAGCCCTGGGGTGTTGTGGAGAACTCTGGAGTGCTTAGAGGGAGCTGGAGATGGCACAGGAAAAAGATCATGGGGGAAAAAGCCACTTGAGCATAAAGATGCTCTTAGGAAGTATTTTATGGAGGGCGCGTGGCAGATTTTGGAACACCAGCAATAACGTTTGAGGACATCTTGTTCTCAAACATCAGTGTTCTGAGATCACTGAATTACTCTACTACTCTCAGAGCTTTGAAAGACACATAGATTTGAATCAAAGTCTGTGACAATTCCTTTTCCTGAGCTATTTACTACGTTCCCCAGCTGTGTTTACCTCCTGCCCTGAATTATGCAGCATGGCTGTATGTGAAGTGACATCCCTACCTGTGAAGAACCCATTTGTGTCAGACCTGCTGGTTATCTTCATGCAAGGAGAAGGGATTGTGCCTGCCCAGCCCTAGCATTTAGAGGTTGCTGTGGGATGCTGCTGACTCTGAAGAGGTGCAGCACTGCTGCCCCGCTTGCCCTCGGGGTGGTTCACTCCTCAGAACTCCATGGAGCTTTCCAGAGCTGGCCAGAGGTGCCTGCACTGTCCCTTCTGCAGAACTGCCAGCTTCTGCTTTCAGAAGAATGCTTTGTTCTTCTGATTTATTCTTCTGGGGAGAGATCAAATGCACGTCTTGAGACTAGTGATAATATTTTTGATGTCTTATCTGCATAATGGCCTTTTTTCCAATAGGAGGGAGATAACAGGGATTACTGTAAGTAATGGCAACATTCTTAGGCTCCTGCAGGCTTCCCCAATGCAGGTTTCTAGTGGTTCTGTTATAAATTGCAGTTGATCTTTGGAGAAGGGCAGAGGACATGGGTTGAGTTTGAGCTGGAACTCTGGTCTCATTCTCTGCCAAATGTCTGTGCTCAGTTTCAAGAGAGCATCGATGCCGCTCAGCAGCACTGCCTGCTTTTAGCAGGCACATGACTTAGAACCTGTACTGACCTGTCAAGCTCTGCACAGCATCATCTTTGATAAAACTGACTCCCAGCACAGGCTCATTGTTTCCAGCTCCAGGGAGAATCAGGATTTGCACATTTCAGAGCTGCCTAAGTGCCGGTGTCAGGATGTCAGACACTGACTGTGACGATTACGCCGTGAGGAGAGGAAGACAGATGGCTTTGACATCACAGCAGACTGTGGCTGCCTATTTTCATCTGCTCAGTTTATGGCCAAAGGGTAATCAGTTTTAGCCAAGGCAATTAATTTATTTAAATCCAACTTGACGTTTGGCTAAAACTGTTTTACTGGAGTCCTCTCCCTAAGGAAAGGTGCCAAGGCACTAGACACCAACACAGCTGGTGTGGCACGAGGCACACACCCTTAGAGGACAGGGGCTTAGTGTTTCCAGCCTGATCTTCTACAGTACCAGCAGGGACTATCTCACAGCTGTACACATCAGAGGTGAGTAGCTGGAGAGGGAGTCTGGGAGAATACCTCAGGCATATATGAAAATGTAAGGCTAGGTAGCTGCTCCTCTCTCTAGCTGGCTGCAGTGGCAATAGAGCAGGGCTGAGGGTAGATTTATGGGATGGATGTACCTTTACAGGTTGTGGGATCAGGGCCTTTTCCTGGACATTGGTTGTTGAGGGATTTAAACCAAAAAGGGTTCCCTCACTGAAAGCCTCTGTTGCTCCTCAGTTCTTCAAAGTAAACAGCAAACAGAAAGTCAGAATACTGTAGAAAACATCCTTGTAGCTACTTCTTCAGCTATAAAATCCTGTTTTCCATGTGGGGTTGTATAACAGGCTTCAGGAGAGCTCTCTATGAAGGCCAAGAATGGGATCACCCTGATGTTGGGATGTTCCACAGGAAAATGCCCACAGGCTCTCCTTATTCTCTTAACAAGCTGCTGAAGGCAGTCTGCCCACTTATACCACTGGATGATCCTGCTTCACATTCCCCTTTTCCCACCTTCCCTACTGTCTTCTTGTTGCCTCTTTTTCCTTCACTGTCTTCTCCAAACCCATATTGTCATGACCCTTTATACTGTCCCACTAATACTAAGCAATATATATCATTAAGACTGAAAGCAGCACAAGTCAAGGAGAGAAGGCAGGGATCAAAGCTACAGTTTGTCCAGCTGTGCTTCCCCAGACAGCATTCCAGCTCTGACCCCACTCTGACTGTAATTTTCAGTGGAAGCACAGTGAATTCCCTTCTTACCTTTGGATCCATAGTTCGTCTAACGTTGTCTTATCAGAGTTTGCTGGAGGTGGTGATCCCTTATGAGATAAAACATTCAGAGGCTCTTTGACAGGCTCATTGTTTTGGAGTGAACCTGTGACATAAGAGAAAGCCAAGAGGGTGTTAAAACAGTTATTTTTTTAATTTACTTTTACCGTAGGCAGTGGTTTGCTTACACCAAAGGCAACAGAAAGACCACAGACACAAAGGTGGTTACATTTTAGCTTCGATTTTCAGACAAGATCAAAGTGTCATCAGCTTGCACAGTGCAAGATGGTACAGCCTTTGTCACAGCTGCAAATGCAACTGAGAAAAGGTGAAGTTGGATATCCTGGTGTCAGTATATATTGGTGGACATATTGGTGTCAGTTCTTATGTGTGTGAGTAGCACTCTCACCACTGCAAACTGGTCCCAACGTGAGTGATTTTCAGTGCAATCCACTGAGCAGAAAAGGTTTATCTGTGCATGCCAGTATTTGGTTTCCCAAGTCAAGGCTTCATGACTGCTCTGCTTTCAGGCATACAGTAGATGTTCAGTTTACTGGACAAATCAAGGTTAGATTTGGGTGAAACAGGAGCTTTACTTTTAATTGCTTCTCCAATTTCCCTCAGATGAACCTCTGATCCCTTCACAGGGAGCCAGAGTTGTATTAAGTCCATGGCTTACTACTGTAGTACTTGGCAGGAGAGGATGCATCTCACTTTTCAAATGAAACCTCCTGTTGTTTGAGGCTTGTTGATATATGGCCTTGTCGTTTTTTATTAGAAATATTTTGGTCTAAGTCATAATTCTGTTTGCATTTCAAACTGGTGACAGCACAGGCAGGTCAATGCTCTGACTGAGGCTGGTTTCTGATGCACCCTTTTAATCAATTTTCAGAGGGAAGGTGTGCCATCCAGAATTTTAAAACTTGCTAAACTAGTGCCAAGGGCTTATGAAACAGTAGTTTGAGTTATTCACTTTGAATAGTTTAAACACTTTATCTTTCTGTCCGAGGAGATTGCTTAAAAAAAAACCCAACAACTGTTTTCCC